CGACTAAGGAGTACAGGTCCTCCATTCTTCCACCGACGACACTCGACTGGTTCAAGAAGTACAATTGTGACTTTGGACAGCCATCGGTGCTCCAAATCAGTCAAAAATCGCGACTTCCACGGCTCCAGCTCATAGCCTACACAGCTTCGCCACTAATAAAGGACAACAGAGGTGTCGAAAGCTACAAAACACGGCTTCGCCAAGAGCCAAAGAACCAAATAGCCATAAAATATTCTGCAAAACCATCTAAAGTAATACAATCGCCTAATGGCCAAGATTCCTCGACACCCATTAGGTTCAAATTTTTCCGTTACGCGTGCCCAATGACGTAATGCGCAAAAGGACTCATCATGGCATGGCTAGGCTATGCCTGGCATGGTGTCAGGCTCTGAGCAGACACCTGGACACTGAGCGCTCGAGCTGAGACAGTAGATCTACAATGTACGTCACCATGGTCACAGTACGTGCGTCTAGCTACACACATGTGCACATGCCATGCCACCAATGCACCATGCATGGCATGTGCATGTGGCGCGTTTTGAGCCCATTTGATTTGTGCCGTTTTGACATGGCAACGTCTTCATTTGCTCGATGGATCCATATGGAGTGCATGCACGTAAGTCGTTCAAGCGAGGCATGCATGGCATGCCGGCAGGTTTTTATTTTGTGGACATTAATTTTTTGTTTCTTCAAGTTCAACGACTTCATGTCACCACACAGTAAAAAAAATGTTGTACCTTGCGGGTAGCTAGCTAGCTTTGGAGTTCCCATCAATTATGTTACTTGTGTGCTTCGGGTAGCGTTCCATTCACCTCAGGTGATTCGTAACTGTTGGAAGGCAGCGGCCACCTGCGGTGCTGCAACTGCAGGCGGAAGGATATTGTAGCGGCAGGCAGCGCAACGCATCACTCATCAGCACAATGGTGGGTGCTATTTGTTTAGCGTCATGTAAACAAGTGTTGGCGGCTCTCTAACTAGGCTAGTCAGGGATGAAAATATTTCGCGGTGCGGGTGTGGGGGTACTGTGGCCTGGCCTGGTGCTTGGTCGTAGCAGGTGAACGCAGTTCATATTAATTTTGCTGTTCGATATTTGTACAGAAGTATCTATTTTACATTCTTTACTTCAACAACAACAACTTCTGGCTATTATGAATGTTTTTGTGTCCAGTAGTGCTCTTCTTCTTTGCACTGTAACTTATCTCAGCCATCGGATCGTAATATTGGGCAATTGGGCAGCCCTGCCCGTCTGATATGAATGTTGTTGTTGTTTCTATTATATAATATGAAAAATGTAGATTGAGTATGAAAAATGTATATTATAATTATTATACATATCAGACGGGCAGGGCTGCCCAATATTACGATCCGATGGCTGAGATAAGTTACAGTGCAAAGAAGAAGAGCACTACTGGACACAAAAAAACTCATATTAAATAGCCAGAAGTTGCCAAAGTTGTTGTTGAAGTAAAGCGAGGGTAGGCAGTAAAGCTATACAACAAGAAAATGACAGAGATCCGTGTGGACGTCTGTAAAGGCACAGTAAAGTTCAATGATTGCTATTTTAGTCAACTTCTTAGCTCCAAGCGCTGCCTCAGGCGGAGTATTGGCAGCGGCATTGACAGTGGGGTGTTGCAAATAGTATAGAATACCTGTTGTAGTTTGCTATGGTGTTTCGCTATTGGCTAGTAAAAGGTCGTGTGCATTTACGACTGCAGTTGATCTTTACTTGATCAACCACAATGAGTGGCAATACCGTCTTCTGGCGGCCTGCCGCGAGGGAAACTTGGATGCAGCGAGCGGCGTTTTTGGTTTGCGTCCCCGTTAGTCTGGTCTACTCAACTCCCACCGCTACAGGAGCTGCATCTGCGCCTTGATCCGTAGAGGATGGTGGTGGTGTTCCTATGTGTACAGAAAACTCAGGGTGACTGAGTCTGATGCGAACTGTGAAATTAGAAAATTGGCAGTGCAACATCTAGCCTGATTGCAGACTGTTACTCGATGCAAAATGCCCATCTCGAACTGTAAACCATCCCATACTTTAATGCAAAACTTTAACAGATCTTAGTCGAATCTCGGTCAACAATCCAAATATCCAGGTTGAAGAGAAACCGTTCAGCTGTCGGAAGAAAAATCCGCAAAGCACCGCAAGCAACGGTTCTTGAGATGAATCGCTTGAAAGTTGAGTGACGATCACGGCCACTTCATGTGAGCTCCGAGTACTGTTGATATCCACTGGCGAAGGTTATACAACGGCTGTTAGCTCAAATTTAACACGCACTGTACTTGCATAATGGTCTGCCCATGCCTTCTAGAATCAGGCCAACAAACGCTCGGGGAGTACAACGTCCGAGTTCACAGAGAAGGTGGCATTTTATAGTGCTGGTTTGGTCGAGGTAAGAAACTACACATGCATGTTTGTGCTGAAATGGACAGTTTTGCGCAGCAGCTATCATATCACAACTATTTATTTTTTTATTTTTTTATTACAGCATCTCATAGCACAGTGAGAACACCGGCCAATGCAAAGAGAGAGGGTGTTAGCCAACCACGGCAAGGAATCAATGCACTATGCATCAATCAGTGGCACAAGATTTCACCTAGGGAATGTGCAGGACTGAATTTTAGTTGTGCTTACCCCCCCGGCGTTGGTATCGCAGCCCATGAGCAAATCCCCCCCCCCCCTCCCCCCATTATTCTTTCCCGGATAAACATGTGTCCCCTTTCATTCCGTCCTGGGTGAACCTATACCCCCACCCCTTTCATTCCGTCCTAGACGGACTTGTGCCCCAACCCCTTTCATTCCGTCCTGGGCGGACCTGTATCCCCTTTCATTCCATCCTGGAAGACCCTATACCCCACCACTTTCATTCCATCCTGGTTGAACATGTGTGCCCTTGCATTCCGTCCTGGATGGACCTGTGCACCCCCCCCCCCCCCCTGCATTCCCTTCTGTCTTGGATGAACCCGTGCCCCACCCCAATTTATTTCCTGGTGTGTGAAACCATGGTTTTGCGTTTATATTCTGTGTTTGTTCAGCCGAATGATTTTGCGCTCCAGTGCAATGATTTCCTTGACAAGATGAAGCAGAGCAGGTCAGTTCTGGTGTGTGTGTGTGTGTGAAAAAATGAAAAGACCAAAAATAGGGATTCACTGGCCAGAAAAAGCCACTTCATAGCTGTGTGGTGTAGACCATGCTGAATAGTGGCGGCCAATTCTTCAGCCTTGCAAGCTGATGAATGGTGCAATCCCAGCACAAGTTGCTATGGCTTCTGCTGTAGCATCGCTATCATCGCCTCCGGCGATGGGCGTCCAATGGTCCAATGGTGTGTGTGCATACAATATAATTCGGAACTACTTTAGGCTTGCCTAGTGCAACTCATATGCAGTGCCCTCGTAAGCAATGCATTCGTGTGCAGTGCCCTCGTAAGCAATGCATCCGTGCACAGGGCCCTTGTGAGCAGTGCACCCGTTCGCAGGGCCCTCGTAAGCAATGTACTCGCATGCAGGCCAGTCGTAGACAGTGCACTGGTGTGCAGTGCCCTCGTAAGCAGTCCAGTCTTGCACAGGATCTCGTACTAAGGTGGCAATGTGTGTTGCACAACCTCGCTAGGTTTCCAGGGTTCATTCTGCTACCGGCTGTGCACCCTGCTTCTGATACATTGGCCATTATAACTTCTATGTACAGTGAAACCTGTCACGGCGACCACTCGGATAAGGCGACCACCTGTGCAAACAGAGTCACAGTTTGTTTCGCATGCTTATTGTGTGTGTGGGGGGGGGGGGGGGGAGGTAAGTGTGTGTGTGTGGGGGGGGGGGGGGGGTAAGTGTGTGTGTGTGTGTGTGTGTTGGGGGGGGGGGGGGAGTGTGTGTGTGCATGCATATGTACAGTTAGGTGAGTGTGCAGGATGTGTCTGATTTCTTTCCTTGTCTTCTTCTGTAGTGCCTTTGAGCTGGTCAAGAACATCAAGAAGTAAGTCAGCATTACCCATTGTTACCCTCTACCTCATGGCCTGCCTAGCGTACAGTACAGTCGGGCGCCGAAGAACGACCAAGGCTAGAATTTCACCAAGCACAGCATACCAATGTATACACGGTGACTCAACTGTGCATAGACTGTGATACATGAAATAGGAACGGTCTAGGCTGTAGGCTGATCCCCCCCCAGTTCTTTGGCGACCAACGGTACTGTATTGCACCGTCTGTCCTCTACTCTTTCCTTAGATACCGATACAACGCTGCTTAGCCATTGGCACCCTACCCCTCATAATTCGCATCCATCTGTCCCCATTTTTTTCTACACCTAGTGTTGCCATTCTGAACGTACATCAGGCATGCTGCTGTTTGTAGACTTTTCTCCCCATTCCTCGATGTGTCCAACATGTTCCCTTCCGCCATTGGCATGATTGACTAGTGAAATCTACGGTTGAGGTAGCATCCTAGATTCCCTTTTCATCCCCATTCCGGAGATGAAATGCGATTGCTGTCCCCGGTAGGCGAGCAGGGGCATGGCTCGTGTGTGGTCAGCGTAGTCCAGTCGCCACACCAGCAAATTTGCTGTCATAAGTACCACCAAGAGTAGATGAAAACCAGAGTGTGCAGCTTGGGGCCTTCTCTGCTATGGGTGTCTGTCACGGCGGAATTCCGTGATTACATCATATTTGGTGCAGATCTGAGGCGGGAAATGGCGTAGTGCGTACAACTGAGCTGCAGTTGTGCAGAAAGAGACCAGTTTGAATCCTGCTTGTATGCACTACATCACTAAAATGATGTAATCACGGAATTCTGCCGTGACAGCAACCCATCCGAGCTGCACACTCTGGTTTTCATGTACTCTTGGTACTCCATAGTCAAAATAGGCAGGTTTGAGTATGAGGTTGCCGATGGTGCAAAGTCACCACACCATATAATTATGTACAATCTGATGCAAGATCACCACACCACAAATGCGCGAGCTACGTCCCCGGTGAGTGTGCTCCTGTGTGTGTTTGTGTGCTCTTGCAGATTCATCAGCAAATTTACACAGCAACAGGTTCCTAAACCGATTGAAGACCTGGTGGATGAGATCCGACAGTTTCTTGATGTGAGTGCCAAACTATGAGTGTGTATGGGTCTGTCTGTTTTGGCATCATGTTCATGTCTTATTGTGGGGTTTTGATAGTGGTGGACTAGGACCACAGGGAGCGCTAATAATTTAGAGGGTTTGTTCTTGAAACACGCCCGCTATTGCCTCAACATAGGAGGAGAGCTAGCAGAGAAATATGGGAAGCGTTCCATGCCGTTACTGGCTGACCATCACTGCATGGTTCCTGTACGAATTGTCGCACTTCTGTCACTTTCTCTTCCATAAACACCAAGCAAACACTGCACTTTGTGACCAAGTGCGGTGATACGTTTGCTGTGCAATGTGACACAGTCCTCAAGCCAATTTCCGTGCCCTTGCTCGTGGACATTTCGTGAGAGGTGGCACACCGCCTGGGCACACAGGACGTGTGGGTAGTGTCACGCTGCTTACTTGGAGCGTGTTGTGTGTTATTCTTGTAACAGAGGTAGTTCTCCCTGTGATCACCTGCGTTTCTGTGCATTGCTCAGGACACATCACTAGTGATTGAACGACATCCTCTATGGAGAACGGCAAGTGACGAGGAAACAATGATCGCCGCCGAAGCGCTGGAGAGGTAGGACGAATGTTGTGCTGTACTGCTGGGTATTGATTCTCTGTGCACCATCTCTTTGGTAGTCCTCCATGTGTATCTGATGTGTAAACACACTTTTCCTACCCCCTCCTCCTCAACGTACCTCTTCTTTGTCTTTCAACACGTCGTGTGTTGCTCTTCTGTGCACCTTCTCATCTTGGTGCTTCCCTCTCCAGTGTCCATTGCTCCCCTTTTCGCAATGTTGTGCTTACACAGTGCCCTCAACGGGCTGTCGCTTTCTCTGCCTACTTCTCCCATATCAAATCTCTCTCCCGCAAGCCTTTGCCTCTCCCTTGTGTCATGGCCTGGCAACAACACAGCCACGCTGCAGTGTGAGAGCATTCTCTGCACTGGATACTCACTGGGTACCGTCTCTCCATGTTTGCTGTAATACCATGCTGCAGGTACACCATGCACAAAGTCCACAAGTGTGTGTATTCACCATCCCGCGAGGACGACGCCAGGCGGGTAAGACCAGTTCTCTCATGCACAAATTCTCCCTTGGACTGCACTGCATGCGTTCACGCCTGCACCATATTGCATGCATCGGGCGTTTTGAGTATGCAGCGCATGCCCCATGGGCGCATGCACGCACACGCATGCACGCACACGCATGCACACACACACACACACACACACACACACACACACACACACACACACACACTGTACTTGCTCACTGCCAAAACTGGTCACGTGGGTCTCCCCGGGAGAGGGGAGAGAGACTCAAAGGGAATCTTGGAAAGATGACTCAATTGGCCATTGAACCACCCAACGGCCGACACCCCCTGAAATCCCCAAACTAGGGTGGACTTGAAATGATGCCACTTATGGGCTCACCACACCTCAGTAAGTGGGTGAGGACAAGGTGCAGAAAAAAGGATTGACGGCATCAGGGTATCCGTCCCGGGATCCAACTGCAGGTACCCCTGCCCCCAGTGAAGGTAATACTTGGTACTAGTGTGGGTGGCTAAATCAGAGTGGATCTGATATAAGATTCACTAGCACCATTGATTACACAAGAGTTAATCTAGCCAGCAGCAGTCCATGGTTAACAGGTATGTATACTTCAAATAGAAAGTATATGAACCCTGAAACCAACAAAGGTGGTAGGTACAACAATACACCTTCAAGCAGCCGAGCCCGTTGGCAACAGGCCCAACACTATCTGGCATAAGTGTACCCACCAACCAAACTAGCTGGCATACATACATACACACATACACACGCGCACACACACACACACACACACACACACACACACACACACCATCAACAAACAAACTTCATATCTCACTTACTACAACAACCTATTCAAAGTGCCTGACATGCTCACGGGCACACAACTATGGACGTCAATGCATTCATTCTTTCCTGAAACTGGACTATGTCTGTAAGTCCAGAGGCTTGGGTGTGTTAGCCCTGTATTAGGATGTCTGGAAGTGAAACCTGTCCAAGCCGACTGTTCAAGAGACCTAAAGAATGTGGTCCCTGTGTACAGATGGTCTCCTTGTCCAGGGTTATTTGACTGGAAAGAATATCCCTTGGTCGTAGTTGCAGTGGTAGTGACAAGTGGTTGCCTTGTCTGAGCGGTCTCAGGTTTTTACTGTAGTACTCAGTTAATCCTGATTGAATTCTTGGTGGTGATGTTTTTTTTAGCCTAATCATGTGCATGTGGATGCAATTATTATGTGTTTGTGCATGCGTGTGTGTATCTATGTGGTGTGTGTACGTGAATCTTTGTTTCACTTGTGCACAATTGACGTTCATGTACAGGATCGAGAGTTTGTTCAGCAACTCGAGTCTTTGAGTTTCATCACTCCGAATCTGCTGGATATACCATTGTCCGGGTGAGCTGAGCATTCCCTGCTGCCGTGCCGTCCGATTCACACACACACACACACACACACACACACACAATCTGGTGCATACGAATCAAGTGTTGTGGATGTTCTTTATGAGTTTCTGCCACCCTGGTCATGTGCCTGTTGTCTTGCTGTTCTGCTGGCGTATTGCTTCTCACGGCGTCGGAAGCAATTGATTGCACGTTTTTTCCATTGCCTTTGTGCCTTGATCCTTTGAGGATGGTGGTGTTCTACGGATGTAGAAAACTCGGTCTCTACACCAGTCTCATTCAAACCGTGAAATTGTTTAAGTCAGTCAGTTGGATAATGTACATGTGTGTTTGTGTCTGTGTGTGTATGTGCGTGTGTGTGTGTGTGTGTGTGTGTGTGTGTGTGTGTGTGTGTGTGTCTGTTATCTGTCCGTCTGTCTGTGTGTTCGTGTTTGTGTGATTCTTGTGTATCTACTCCTGGCACCGTATTCAGTCCTACCTGTGAAGCAGGCTGGGAAGTTGCTAGTAACCGTGAGTTTCCCTGTTCTGTCATGTTTAGCCTGTACTTGCTTCTCTGGGCCGGAGCACCGGGATGCCGCGCGGTCCCACCAGAAACGGATACTTGACCGGAAATGAACTTATTGAGAAAACCCAGTCAGCATTGAACTTTGCAGCTTAGAGAGCGTGTGTGGGCAGGCGTGTGTTTTCCGCCATATTGCCAGGTGTGTCTGTACCACCATATTTATCAAGCATGGTTTGGGTGGGTCAGCTTTTTATATAAATATGGTGATGGCTGGATTGCCCAGACCGGATGCTACACCCCTGCTACAGCAGTGTGATTCTTGCTGCACTGACTGCCACAATGTACAGCCACACAGACTACTGAAGCACCAAAACAGTGCCCCAAGGTCCTTGGGCACAGCTCCTGAGAGTGGGTACGATCCCGGGGGGGGGGGGGGGGGGGGGGCAATCATTACCCTATGGGCGAATTCAGTATCAAATGAGGTTGCATGTCTAGCTCCATGTATCATGTCTGGTGTAGTCCGGTGTAGTCTGGTGTAGTCTGGGCATATGTATTGGTAACTATCATCACCGAGGTAAAACAACAAGTGTGGGCGTGTGTGTGTGTTTTCTCTCTCTCTCTCTGTCTCTCTCTCTCCTTCTCCTCGCTTCTCACTTTGTCTGTGTCGTAGAGCTGAAGAAGATGGAGAGTTGCAAGTCACCAAGAGACAAAGTCACTTGCGTCATGAACCTTTTCACAGTCTTGTGCAAACGTATCCTCTTTCAGAGTGTAACGTTCTACCTTGTTGATGGTACAGATCTGCGCTCTACTGTAGGTCCAGTTCGTACTCATCTCAACTGATAATATAATTGCATAAACCCTCTACGCTCAGTCAAACTTCCTGTATGCTGCACGTGTGTGTGTGTTGTGTGATCAATGTGACAAGCTTACTCTACGGATTGTGGGTGCAGCTGTTTTCAAATAAGAAAGACACTCACACATGTTCACTTTGCTGGAAAAGTCACTTCAGCTGGTTGTCCATGGCTTCTAGTGCTTTCACTGAAGATGATGCTGGGTGCAGTTCTGTATTAAACAGGAAACATTTGACCTACCTGCTCGGCGAAGCTCTGTGTGCACCTACTTCGTTTCCATCTCTCCGCCTGCAATTTGACAGGAGGCTATTGCCAGCGATATGTATTTGTGTAGCACACTAGCTCTGCTGTTTGGTATGCAGCGCTTTTAGCACCTTTCTGATGTGCACTCTATCCTGCACTTTCACTATTACTAGGTAGGGCTGTAAGTCTTGATTCTCAGGATAGCCAGTGAGAAGTTTAAGAGGGGAATACGACTAAGGTGGTGGCAGCGTAAAGGCAGATAGTGAGCTGTGTTCATCTTGTCGCACGGATGGTTTCCTTGACAATGTTTCTTGGTTCCAGTGTTGGTGGATGTCGGCTCAGGGAATGCAGGTGAGTGCCGGGTTTGTTACTCCCTCTCGCCCTATCAGCCTCCCCCCCCCCCCTCTCCCTCTCTTTCCCTCTCTCCTCACGCCGTCTCCCTCTCCTGTCGTGCTCTCACCCCTCACTCTCACCCGCTCTCTTCTACCCTTTCTTTCCTCCTCCCACTATCTTTCCCTCTCCCTCTCTTTCCTTCCCCCCCCCCCCCCCCCTCTCTCTACTCTCCTCTCACCCCTGCCCCCCCCCCCCCCCCCTGCCAACACCGCCTACAGCAACGGCGTACGCCTGCATGCCTTTCCTATTTCCAACCTGCAAAACCTAGGCTTTGCTACCCTGCACAGTAGGGAAGTACTGTGCATACATAGAAATGAGTTGGGCAATCACCTAGCACCCAGGCATGCCCTTGTCCAGTCATAAAGCTAGTAACGTTATTCTATGCTTTAGTACCATTGAAAGACGTGGTTGGTTGCTACATACTTACTCTGCTTGTCTGGCTTTGGTTGTAAATTTGTGCCTGGCTACTTTCTCTTCTAGAGTTTCCGTGTGATTGACTGTGTGTGTGTGTGTGTGTGTCTGCGTGTACGTGTGTGCGCCTGTGTGCGAGTGCATTCTTGTGTGTGTGTCTGTGCATGTGTCCATGATTGCTTCATTAAGCCGGTGCTGATGACCTCATGCCCAACGTCATCTACATCATTCTGAGAGCAAAACCTGCGCATTGGTTCTCCGATGTACGCTATATACAGAGATTCCGACACCCTGGTCGACTCTCTTCTGAAGCCGGGTACTACATGACACAGATGGTAAAATCCGTTGATCCCCGAGCTGCAGAGAGTGCTCAATGTCAGAGACAGAGCTTAGTACATAGCAGACTCAGCGGAGGACGTTCAGGTTGGTTGTAACTCTGAGTTTCATGCCGCTAGGCAATCATCAGACAACTGACTCAGTTGTCTGATGATTGCCTAGCGGCATGAAACTCAGAGTTACAACCAACCTGAACGTCCTCCGCTGAGTCTGCTATGACACAGATGGTATGTAAACTGTTTTTTTATATTTCAAATCTAGCCGTTTTTGGGTGGTAAATTTTGCTGATAATTGATTATGAGGGTGCATCCAAAGATTCCGACACCCTGGTACCCTTTGTGCAGGGACGTCGGAAGGTATTCCGCATTGGTGTGGTCATGAATGGGTGGAGGGTCCAGAGGGCCCTCCCCCTGGAAAATGTTAGGGACATTGTACCCAAATACCCTATATTCCTTTGCTCCGAAGATGAAATTATCGGTGTGGCTTTGACAGCACCTGCCGCACTGGTTCCGACGGTCCTGGTGTGTGTGTGTGTGCGTGTGTGTGCGTGTGTGTGTGTGTATGTATGTCATCTTGCTTTGCAGATGGGTGCCGTTGCCTTTCTAGAGAAGGTCGAGGCGCGTCACCTCTCCCTGACCGAGGCGGAGTTTCAGAAAGCCAAGCGCGGGGAGTTCACACCACCGACAAGACCTCCACAAGAGAAGAAACGGAGTCGCAAATCATCTCCGTCCACCGAGGATGAGACACCGGTAGGGCCATCTAGTACTACTGGCACAACGGCCTCTGAAGACGTCCAGGCAGCACAAGCGAGTGCGGAGCCGACTACAGAGGTACCAGAGTTGTCCAAGCAGGAATTTATCAAGAGTAAGTGAATTGCAGGGCGTTCGCGACAGCGCATGGCAAGGTTTTGGTTGGAAGTTGAATTTACTGGTCCGATTCAGGGCATTTCCTTTGTTCTGTTTGTATCTGTCTTTCTCCTTTCTCTCTCTGTCTCTCTCTCTCTCCCTCTCTCTTTCTCTCCTCTCTGTGTGTGTCTCCTTAAATTTTATCCATCATATTTGTTTGTTTTTCTTTCTCTCACGCATGTCATCTATGTACTTCTCATTGCATTTTTGTTCAGGATTGTCAAGTTGTTCCACTTCAAGTGTGAACAGCACCAGCAGCAACCGCTCAAGCACACACTCTGCAAGTTCTTCCCCCGCTGTCTCTCGTCGCCATCGCTCGGACAGCAACAAAGGCAACCACCTTAGCAACAGCGGTACCCCTTCGTCCACCTCACCGGCAATGGCCGCTCGCCACGTAATCACCCCGACCAGACAGAAGTCGTCGACGGGCTCGGAGGCTGACGTTCGCGATGGAGTCACACCGACAGCGTCAGCATTGCCGACTGAAGGTAGCAATGATGCGTATTCCATTGCCATTGCTGCTAGTGTGTCAGCAAGTGATCGTGCCGCCGAGGCAGCTATTCGCAAGGTTTCCACTCTAGCACCAGGTACGTCGTCATACTGCTCCAGAGATGCATGACTGTAATGCCTTTTGATCCGACTTCATTACATGTACTTTGAGGTATGCAGTTCAATGTGCTATTTGCTGGGAGCAACTTACCCAGTTGTTGGGAGGGGACAAAACAAAGATCCTTTGGTCTGTCTGTCTCTCTCTTTCACCATATTTTTGTCTTCTTGTCTCTATCTCTCTCTCTTTCTCTCTGTCTCTCTGTCTGTCTCTCTCTCTCTCTCTCTCTCTCTCTCTCTCTCTCTCTCTCTCTCTCTCTCAGTCTCCTTATTCGTAGCATTGTTGCACAGCACCCTCCTCTTGAAAAGCTGACTTGAATGCATATCGAGCTGCTGCAGCAGTCAATCCTGCATGTTAAAATATTTGATTCTTCTGTTTCTATAAGTAGATTATTTCGCATATTATGTGTTTGCCTGTAGATCTTGACCCTTCCAACCCAATGAGTATGCTGTCTCCTCTTACATCAGTGACTGGTTCTCCTGTCCCGGAGGCTGGAATTGTGGAACGTTTCCTGAACTGCAAGTGAGTGACATTGGACACTGTATGGTTGTTCGTATGTAAGTGTGCGTGGGTGTTGGGGGTGTGTGTGTGGGGGGGGGGGGGGGAGGGAGGGAGGAGTGCATGTGTAGTGGTGTGTCAGTGTGTGTGTGTGGGGGGGGGGGGGGGGGGGGCCCAAGTGCATGTGCCGGTGGTGTGAGGGGTACTGGCAAGAAGTCCTTCTCTGGTCGAGATTCTCTTGCTAAAAATTGTTACTCTTGTGGTGTGCATGCATGTGTGTGTGGGTGTGTGCGTGTGCATGAATGCGCGTGTGTATGTGTACGTGCGACTACGTGTGTGTGTGTGTGTGTCTGTATGTATGTATGTATGTCTTAGATTCAAGGAGATGACAGTTGGCGACATGACAGAGCTACTGAAAAGTAAGTACAAGGAGAGACAGTTTGTGTATCCCCGTAGCAACTGCCGTTAGCCAATTGAAAGGCTTGCAGAAACTGAGATTATTTGTAAGAAGGAGTTTGCTCCCCACACCGGAGCTCACGCTATTCCGCCGACTTGACTTGACACTTGACTGACTCACGACTGCTATCCAGAGCACACGAGAAGTCCATCGAACCTTCAGTGTGGGGAGCAAACCCTTTCGTACAAATCATCACCCAAGTCGCAACCACTATTTCGTGAGATAATTTGGCTGACATAATGATCATAATTCCGCTGTTGTCCTGCTTTGCGTGCTCAGACTATCGGATATTGGTGCACAAGTACAGCACACTACGTGCTCAGATGGCCACGGTTAGTGCCACCTCCACCCAGGCCAGACTGCTGGAAGCTCAGCGCTGTGCAGCTGCCAACGGCGGCGGCGGTGGTGGTGGAGAAGCAGGAGTAGCAGCAGGCAGCACCGTGAGTTCTGCGACAACGCCGGCTGCCGCCGTCGCCCGGCAGCAATCGTCCAGCAGCCGTCTCTCCAGCACGCTATCGCCAGTCAGCAGTGCGAGTAGCAGCAGCAGCAGCTCTGCCAACCAGAGCATGCCCATTAACGCACGGAGCAGTGCTGGTGGAGGCAGCAACGGCAGTACATCTGACCCCAGCAGAGAGAGCGCCCCGGCTGGTGGAGACGCGGTATTCATCTCAAACCCAGCCGCAATGCTGAACTAGCTCCAACGCCACCGCATTCCTCACAAGATTAAAAAACAAACATATACCTATCAGACTACTTCAGGCAAGCAGTGAAACGTTTCCCCTTGTTGTCCCATGCTTAGAATTTCACGTCCTGTTTTTCCCTAGTGATTATCCAAGTCGGTATCTTAGCCAGGAGTCTTATAGAACCTTAGGTCTTGACCTACCAGACGCACAAACAAAGGAAATGTCAGTGGAAAATATTAATCTAGTTTGACGCCTGTTCTGAAATGTAACGACATTGTGGGAACAGGTAAATGTATGGTTTGACCAAGATTGTCCTTGAGCTATTCAAATGGCAACGCGCCCAAATCTAAGACCCCTGTGTGTTTTCCTCTTTTTGACTATTGAAAAAGAGTGAATAATTCTACACGGTATTTTGTGGAATTGCTTTGGAGGAATTCCGTCACTACAGACGTTCGAATATTATTGGCACCCTGCGGGAATCTTTGCTTATTTTTTACTAAGGTTATGAAAGGAATGCTTGCTTTCCACTACTTTTCACCGCACGGCTAAATTATTATTATCGCCCTCTGCATGTGCGTATCCTGCTGTTTCCCCTCTTGACATCATGTAATATATTATTTGTTTGGATTCGTTACTCAGTCCCATGCAGCCACATTGTTTTTTCACGAGATAGCCACAAATCACGATGGTGCGAATGCGAGCATATACAGCTAAACTTACTTGTCTAAAGTGACCAGGGGTGCATCCAGAGGTCCTTTAAAATGTGATCCTCGTGTACAGGTGGTCTCCTGTTCCGGAGTCAATAGACTGGAAATGGAAAAATGCATCCCTTGTATCAGTTGTAGTGAGAAGTCTGAGCTTCACACCTGAAATGATTGGTCAACCGCCCTCAGCCAATCAGAGTTCAATAAGTGTTTTTTTCTTGGCCTGCTGATGGCTGAACTCTTGTTGTTTTGGGACGAGGAAGGAGATCACGATAAGCCGGAAAATTCTACCGGAGGAGAAAATCAAAATTGAAAAATTCTTGGCCAGCCTGGTTTTCTTCTTGGCCTGCTGATGGCTGAACCCTTGTTGTTTCGGCACGAGGAAGGAGAACATGATAAGCCGGAAAATTCTACCGGAGGAGAAAATCAAAAAATCAAACCCCGACCGCCATCCCCTCCTGGAGTGATTACTTTTATAGCCTACCCTAGCTCTGACTTCACACCTGAGATGATTGGTCAACCGCCCTCAGCCATGCAATCAGAGTTCAGCAAGTGTTTTCTTCTTGGCCTGCATGCTGATATCTGAACTCATGTTGAAGAAAACACTAAGCCTTCATGAACTCTGATAGGCTGAGTGCACCAGGAAGGAAAAACAAGCAGGGAAATTCTACCAGAGAAGAACATAATTAGTGGTCCTCGTGGACAGGTGGTCACCTTATCAGAGTGGTCACCTGGACAGGTTTCACTGTAAGCGCAAAAGGGCACACGGCAATAAGCCCATTCCGCATTTCCAAATATGGAAGGTATGAGTAATGCATGTAAGTACACTGGGATCAGCAATGCACTGTTCATTGTTCAACACCCCCAGACGACCATGCCCAGGTGGCTGTGTGGGGTGTTATGTGAGTACACTGGGATCAGCAGTGCACTGTTCAACACCCCCAGACGACCATGCCCAGGTGGCTGTGTGGGGTGTTATGTGAGTACACTGGGATCAGCAGTGCACTGTTCAACACCCCCAGACGACCATGCCCAGGTGGCTGTGTGGGGTGTTATGTGAGTACACTGGGATCAGCAGTGCACTGTTCAACACCCCCACACGACCATGCCCAGGTGGCTGTGTGGGGTGTTATGTGAGTACGCTGGGATCAGCAATGCACTGTTCAACACCCCCACACGACCATGCCCAGGTGGCTGTGTGGTGTGTTTACGGTACAGATGACGTCATTGTGCAATGGGCTTGTGGCAGCCAAAGCAGTGAAATGGGGCAGGAGGAGCTAAAGCAACCATTGGCCACTGTACTGTGCCAGCACAGCTCATACACGCCAAATGGCCGGTATGTAAAGCTGACGTTCCGTCATCGTATCAATCCATTGTCAATTTTCAGTAATGCTGAAATGTAGCAGAATGCTGTATGTGCTAGTAGGGACAGTGAGGGCACTCCCAGCTAAATGAATACTTAAATTATTGCCAGAAAATGCATACGAAATCAATCATGAAATCGAATGAAAGGAAATTGTCAATTTGAGGGGGGGGGGGGGGGAAGAGCAAAAGTTCGCACCAACAGCTACTAGAAGTATCAAAGCGAGAGTCGCGAATTGAAGTGAGAATGAACAATTGGTGAACTTTGCCCACTGAGGCAAGCATTTAGAAATGAATTGAATTGATTATAGAGCAGTCAGTTGGAGACCGGAAGGGTGAAAGGAAATTATTTCGGAAATTAGCATGAACCAGTCAAAAATCGTCGCAGAATTGAAAGCAACCAGAGAACGAGTGGAGACATTGAGAGGTGCACCCTTTCAGTCAGTGCTACTATGTGTGTGGGAGGGCAGGGAAGCGTCAACTTTGGTCCGGGGTCCGGGGGGAAATACCCCTCATACTTCAAAGTAGAGTCGATCAATGGATACAATATCCGTGTGCATGTATACGATTGCTGTATGCGGACGTACACGTAGGTCAACATGTGCCTGTCCTTCATACACAAAGAAGAAACTTGAGAAGTTGCTGGAGGTTGCCTCGAAAACAGCACTAATCACTTGAAGTTTCCGTACGTCTCGAAGCTGGCTATGTAGTCAAGCACTGTGTTGTAGATGAACTTGTATTGCTCCTGAGGCAATGGCAAGAGAGTAGCGCACAGCAAAGCAGAAAGACAGACGTGTTAGAATCGCATACGTGCGTGTGCACACAACGGTTCTCGCACACAACCCACACACGCTCACATCCGCACACACACACACACACACAACCCACACACGCTCACATCCGCACACACACACACACACACACACACATACTCACACATACACACACACACACACACACACACACACACACACACACACATACACATACACACACACATACACACACATGCAGATATGAATAGGACTACCAAATTCAAACATAGCCCGACGCACAAGTAAGTTTCTTCTGAACCAACTATTATGCAGGTAAAGCAGACACGCCACTCATGACTTACGGATGATTGCACACATCCTGCTCTCTGCATCCTCATCATCTTCGTCATTTGAAAGACGTCCACGGAGTTCTCACTCTTCGCACGGTCTATAGCCGAACTGATACCAATGTAGGTTCCGGTGCGACCTGATCCGTTGCTATAGTAACCACAGCATAAGAGTGAACAACAAAATGATAAGTACTCGGATGGTGAAAGGAATTGGGGGGGGGGGGGGGGGGGAACACACCCATTCCCATAGCGGATGGGAAGCCCCGGAAAATATTAAAAGGAAACGAGGAAAACGGTGGGGCGCGACTAATGCGTTAGACTTTGACTGTTCAAAACTCAGTTTAGTTGGTGAACTCTAAAGCATTACTTGTGCCCCGCCGTTTTCCTCGTTTCCT